TTGCGTTCTCGATATGTGTAGGTCTTCCGCAAGGATAACCGGACCATGCTCTCTAGGAAGGAATTGTTCAAGGACACTCTGAGAAAAGCAGCCCATGCGTGGAAGCGGATCGTCGAGCTACGTCTTACAGGTCCCAAATCAACCCCCATCTATTTCCACTAACAACCAAAGATCCGTTGATCAACTGTGCTACATACAGCACTCTAAACTAATGTAATGTCTCGTTTGATGTCGATTAACAGAAGAGGAAGCAAATTTGTTGAGACAATATGTCGACCAGCCTGGTTATGTTGATCTGCATTGGGTATGTCTATCCATTCCTTTTTCCGTTAGTAATAATATGTTCTTATTCATACCTCAGTCAAGCCTTTATTGTGTGTGTCAATCTTCATATGGTTCTTGGGTTTCTGTAAAAACTAGGGCCTTACCTTTGATAGCAATCACAGAAAATTCATGCCATGGAAGGAACAACAGATAGTTGGTTTGTACAAGCTTCTTCTTCTTTTGTTAACTTACGGACACAATACGATCTTGCAGGGCATGTTCGTGCCAGCTATAAAAGGGCAAGGAACTGAGGAGCAGCAGCAGAAGTGGTTACCACTGGCTTACAAGTTCCAAATAATTGGGTGCTATGCTCAGACGGAACTTGGTCACGGCTCAAACGTTCAGGGCCTTGAAACAACTGCTACATTCGATCCAAAGACTGATGAGTTTGTCATCCACAGTCCAACTCTCACGTCCAGCAAAGTAAAGTTCTATGAATCAACTGCCACCTTATTGATTTGTTTAAAACATTTGCTCTTTTCCCTTTTTAAAAATTACTTTAGCGCTTTAGCAATTTGTGATGTAAATTGTTGAAGACGCTGCCCCGCAATTCATTACATGTTTCTTGTTGGCAGTGGTGGCCTGGTGGCTTGGGGAAAGCTTCCACCCATGCAGTGGTGTACGCTCGGTTGATAACTGAAGGAAAGGACTATGGCATACATGGTAGTGTTTTGCTTCTGGGAAGCCTTTATTGATGCACTCTCTTTCTTTGCGACTTATGCATGTCGGTGTTCCAGGTTTCATTGTGCAACTGCGAAGCTTAGAGGATCACTCCCCACTTCCTGGTGTTACTCTCGGTGATATTGGTGGGAAGTTTGGTAGTGGTGCATATAACAGTATGGATAATGGTGTTCTTCGATTTGATCATGTGCGCATCCCAAGGGACCAAATGCTGATGAGGTTTGTCCATTTGGATCATCATACTTCATTCTGTCACTTTATCCCTTTTTTCTTGTCTTAACCTTCCTTAAACTTGACATGGTTATATTCTTGCTTTCTAGGCTTTCACAAGTTACAAGGGAGGGGAAATATGTTCACTCAAATGTTCCAAAGCAGCTGCTGTATGGGACAATGGTTTATGTTCGTCAGTCAATTGTTGCAGATGCCTCTAAGGCTTTGTCCCGTGCTGTTTGCATTGCTGTACGATACAGCGCAGTCCGAAAGCAGTTTGGCTCTCAAGATGGTGGCCCTGAGACTCAGGTACTTTCTCTGTTAAATATTTGAATAAATTTCGTATCGTTATTATTCGTTCATTTTTCTGTTAATTGTGAAGAAACTTTGTTAAAAAACTATGCTCTCAACCATAAATTGAGCTGACCATATAAAGTAACTAATAAATGAGATCTATCCACTAGGCGGGCATCAAATACCTATTTGGTTTGATAAACGTCCATACTCTTATCTATAAACTTGATCAAATGTAAGATTGATAGTTTGACTTGGGAGAAAGATTGAAGTAAAGTCTTTTTGGGACGGAGGGAGTACATGTACATGGATATTTCTGCATCTTCTGGCTACCAATGAGAGGTGATTAATATATTCAAACTGATTACAGGTCCTTAATTACAAGACTCAACAGAGCAGACTCTTTCCATTGCTGGCTTCAGCATATGCATTTAGATTTGTGGGTGACTGGCTCAACTGGCTATACACGGATGTCACTCAGAAATTGGAAGCCAAGGACTTCTCAACACTGCAGGAAGCTCATGCATGCACTGCTGGTTTGAAGGCTGTGACAACATCTGTAACAGCTGTATGTATTGAGTTTAATTTCAGTAACCCTTGTTCTGTTCTACTTGTTATTAATGGTTTATATTCATCAGCCCTCTTTGGCTCTCTTATACAATTATTATGATTGGAGTGGAGTTGAGTTAATATTGATCATTCCCAAGTACTCGTAGTATAAAAGTGGTTTGTAGAAGTTCTGAACTACCAATTGGGCAGATGTTGTCTTTATCACTAAATCTTTCTTGGGTATTTCAATTGTAGCTCGTAATTCAGGTTTCATAGTCTGTCACTAGATACGATTTTTCTGTCTGACTTGCCTGACTCCATTCCATTTTAAGAGAGCAGGCTCTGGTCTGATGGTCAAGCTTATGCATGTTCTGATGGTCTAGTCACTATATATAACAAAGCACAGTTTTACAATTCATTGTTGTATAAAGGGATATTTCTCTCTGTTACGCAGGATGCAATTGAAGAATGCCGGAAGCTCTGTGGTGGACATGGTTACTTGAACAGCAGTGGGCTTCCTGAATTGTTTGCCGTCTATGTTCCTGCTTGCACTTACGAAGGAGACAACATTGTTTTACTTTTGCAGGTTTGTATGCTACTCATATTCCTTAGTTGTAATGATGTCAATCATTTGTCATGCTTTTAGCACGTAGTTTATTTGATTGAAGCCCTTTTTTTCTTTCATTGTGTTTTTTGTCAATGGTGTGGTAATAGCCTTTGGTGGTACCTGCAGGTTGCAAGGATTCTAATGAAAACTGTTTCTCAATTGGCATCCGGAAAACAGCCTGTTGGCACAATGGCCTACATGGGCAAAGTACAGTATCTGATGCAATGCAAATCTGCTGTCAATTCAGGTACATAATTATAGGCTGACACATTGTATGGTCTCCTTGTCTCTTAAGGAGGTGATATATTCTGTGATGTGATGGTAATAGTCCATGTTTTGATGACTGTCAACAGCCGAAGATTGGCTTAACCCTGCTGCCATACAAGAGGCATTTGAAGCAAGAGCGCTCAGGATGGCGGTAAACTGTGCCCAGAACATAAGCCAAGCTGCAAGCCAAGAGGAAGGTTAGTATTTATTTTACACACATTAGTCTGGGAGACAGGCAGAAAAAAAAATCTTATATAGCTGGTAAAGTCTGGATGGAAATTAATCAACTTTACCAATGACGACCTCATTCCCTGCAGGTTTCTACGAGCGGTCCCCAGATTTGCTTGAGGCTGCAGTAGCTCACATCCAGCTGATCATCGTGACCAAGTGAGTACCAAGTACACAACCATGTGGAGGAAGCATGCGCAATTCCTTCCATGTCATTTTCGTATTTTTGGAAAAGAAAAGAACAGAAAAGAAAATGAAAGGAAATAACGATGATTCATTTGCTACTCTTGTTGCTTGTCGCCCAGGTTCATCGGGAAGGTGCAGCAGGACATTCCTGGACACGGGGTGAAGGAACAGCTGCAGACCCTCTGCAACGTGTACGCGCTCTACATCCTCCACAAGCACCTGGGTGACTTCCTGGCGACTGGGTGCATCACGCCCAGGCAGGGAGCGCTGGCAAACGAGCAGCTGGGCAAGCTGTACGCGCAGGTATATTATATATAGCGCTGGCAAACGATGAAATGGAGTGAAATCCAGTGAAGAAGTGGGCAGCAGGAACTGAACTGAACTGACGGCTTGCTGACTTGTCACATTACACAGGTGCGGCCGAGCGCTGTGGCGCTGGTGGATGCGTTCAACTACACGGACCACTACCTGGGGTCTGTGCTGGGGCGGTACGACGGGGACGTGTACCCGGCGCTGTACGAGGAGGCGTGGAAGGACCCGCTGAACGAGACGGTGGTGCCGGAGGGGTACCACGAGTACCTCCGGCCCCTCATCAGGCAGCAGCAGCTCAAGCTCTCGAGGCTCTGAACGAATTCTCTTCTCTCTGATGTGGTCCGCTGCCATTTGCGTGTGACCCCTCTGAATAAGCGAGCGAGCGAGAGATTCAGCATATCCCTGCTGCTCGAGTGCGTACGTAGTGCAAATTTGTATCGTAGAAAGAAGAACTGGTGTTACTGAATGAACGAAGGGATCGAGGATTGAATTGGTGCAGGCATGCAATAATGCTCCAGCACTAGCTCGTCTGTTACTACTAGTTTTATTAATAACAACTCTTCTTTTATTATACTATAGATTGTTGTTAGCTTAGCTACATTCTATAGATGGTAGATTATAGATAGTTTGTAGTATGATGCACCCCTGTGGTCTGTGGACTGTGGTGGTTTCTGCTTTTCTGCTCAGTGGTAGCCTGCTACTGCTTAGTGCTAGGTGCTCTCCAGAGAAAGCTAAGTCGCCGAAGTACGTTTTCACTAGAGGGAAGACGTACCCCACCTCCACCAGCCATCTTATCTTCTTCTTCTTCCCGCCTGCAGCCTCTCTGTGTCCTCCCTGGGCCCCCCCTCCTCCCTTCCTTGTCCTCCTCTTCTACCCCCAGCCTCCACCTGGCAAGTGGCTTCTTGATGATGGCTCCTCCGCCTCCCCTCCTCTCACCCACCGCCGCCCGCCGGCACACCCCGCTACTAACGGCGCCCGCCACTTTGCCTCCTCCAGCCTCCACCCGCTTCTGTCCTCCTCGCCACCGCAGACGCCGACGCCCTCGCCCTCGCCCTCGCCTCCCCCTATCTTCTTCTGCTCCTGCCGCAGCAGACGGCGACGCCTCCACCTCCTCCTCCGCCGTGTCTGCTGCCAACCAACGGGGCTCTTCCGCTTCCTCCGTCCTCACCTTCCAGCAGGCCATCCAGCGTCTCCAGGTTCGTTTCGCCCGCTGCTCCCTTCCCCTCCCCACTAATCAAATTCAAAACCACCCATCTCCTCTCTCCTCTGAGTGACGTCTGATCCCTCTTCAATTCCAATTCCAATTCCACAGGAGTACTGGGCCTCCGTAGGATGCGCCGTCATGCAGTGTAGCAACACCGAGGTAACCTGTTTTAGTTACATGCGTATTCTTCAGCATTGTTACTTACCCCGACCCTTACTAGTAGGTAATAACGTTGTTTTTTCATCCACATCGAATCCAGGTCGGAGCAGGCACAATGAATCCTCTCACATTTCTTAGAGTCTTAGGTCCTGAGCCATGGAACGTCGCGTAAGCTTGCCTTCTCACCCCTCATCCTGACCACTACTAGTAGTATTTATCAACTCAACTCCCACCCCTTTTGTTTATGCGCCGCCGTCTAATTTCTCCTCATTGCGCTCCACAAATTATGGCTTACAATAATTTCCTTATTATATATAATAATAATTCCTGTAATCTCAAAACACTGACATGTGATGCTCTATATGAACGGCAGTATATACAAAGGCTACAGTGCTAACTCCATCTTCCTTTGCTTTTTTTCTTTTCTTTTTGTTGTACTGTATTTTTTCTCCAATTTTGATCCTCAAGTTACGTGGAGCCAAGTATAAGACCAGATGATAGTCGCTATGGGGACAATCCCAATAGGCTTCAGCGCCATACTCAGTTTCAGGTTGACTCAAGTTTTGCTTCTCCCATCTTATTTAATTTGATTGGCCAAACTGTTACCGGTGCCTGATTCAAGGAATTTAATCATTCCTATGAATAGGTAATTCTGAAGCCTGATCCTGGAAATTCGCAAGATCTCTTTCTGCACAGCCTTTCAGCAATAGGTATTGCTAAATAATATTATCTGCCTTCAGTTCTACTAGACGCTTTGTACAACAACCAAGGAACACTAATGTGATAAATGTTTTTACTTTTGGGTATTAATTAATGAAAGTCCCAACTGGTACATTATGATGTTCTATGTTTCCCTCTAATCACATTTTTAATGAATATAAATGGAGTCAGTGATTGGTTGAGTTGTTTTTCTCACAGGTATCAACATCCGTGAACATGACATCCGCTTTGTTGAAGACAACTGGGAGAGTCCGGTGAATTTCTACCTTCTTTCCAGTGTTCTTTTTTTTTTATGCCAGCACATGTTGTCCTGGCTAAGTAAACTCCAACGAATTTCTTCTTATTCATGATAGGTTCTTGGTGCTTGGGGACTGGGCTGGGAGGTTTGGATGGATGGCATGGAAATCACACAGTTCACATATTTTCAGCAGGTACAACTAATTAAATAGTACTATGTATCACTTCATGACTCTTGCTAAAATCAAACTGGGACCACACAGCTGTTTCATCTGCATATTTAGGATGTAGACAAGGAATGCAAATCAGACCAAGTGACAGTTGACTTATTAGATTTTTTAAGAAAAGAAAAGAAAACTAGACCATCCAGGAGGAACTATGTGATCTGCACCAAGAATAAAATAGCATCCAAAAACGAAACTTTATTTATTCAGAACTAGATGACCTATGAGAAACTAGATGATTTTGCATCATCACTTCATGTACTAAAAGTTTTCAGGTCCTATTCCTGTCTAATCCCTGTACCTTTTTTTGTATCTCAATTGTTGCAGTCAGGAAGCCTTCCATTGCAGCCGGTTTCTGTTGAAATAACATATGGACTTGAGCGTATCCTCATGTCACTTCAGGTAGGCCCAGTAATTATTTTGTACTCGTCTTGTATGAGTCATACATATACAGTGCTTATTAGCATTCTTTTCTTCCTGGATAGAATTGTAAACATAATTCCTTGATTTTGTTGATTATTGATCCTTGACTCCTGTATGTCTATAGCACAACAACTGTGATACTAACTTCTCCATTGAGATCATTTCTACCATACTATGCTGGGTAGCATGACCTTTGAAAAAGCTGACCTTACTTTAATTTAGATTCTGTGACAGGGAGTTGATCATTTCAAGAATATACTATACACCGAAGGAATTACATATGGAGAACTGTTCCTTGAGAACGAGTATGCTTTTTTCTTGACTGTTTTTCGATGCTATGCAGATCTTTTCTTTTTTTTCTTTAGATTTTCCCTCCATTTTCCTCCTCTTATATACCATGGATACTGATTCTGTCATGTGCTTAAGCTTTGGACCTTATTTCTGGTTTCTTGACTTCAGGAAGGAGATGAGTGCATATTATTTAGAACATGCAGATGTCAGTCACATTCGAAAGCACTTTGACAATTTTGAAGAAGAGGCTCGCTCTTTGTTATCACTGGGGCTGCCAATTCCGGCGTATGCTTGAATGATTTTATACCGTCTCTTTTGGATTACAAGCAATTAAGTGATAACATTGACAAGTTGGCTCTTGATTTGCAATGAACTAGGTATGATCAGGTTCTGAAGGCCTCTCATGCTTTCAATATATTAGATTCTAGAGGTTTTGTTGGTGTAACTGAGCGTGCAAGATATTTTGGTCGCATGCGAAGGTGCGGAACTATTTCCCTTGTTTTCTTTCTATCTTACCTCATCAGGTATCATGGAAACTTTCAAGTGCCTCTTTGTTCCTAATTAAATTATATATTTCCATTAGAGCAACAAATATCTCCATATCACCATGTTTTTCTTTTTCTTGGAGGTTTAGCAACCTGCATTTTATTTTAAGTTCTAATATTCCTCACTACCCATATTTTGATTGCTTTTCCAACTTCATTGCTATGGGCTTTGGATTCATAGTTGAAGATTGCTTCATCTAATATTGTTTTCTTATTGAACTGATTTGGTGTTTAACCATTCATTATTATGTTACATTATTGGATGTTCGTTCAATGTTCTTCTTTCATCTAGCTTCTGCATTAAAGTCAAAATAAAATTATGATCTTGCTGACTGCTTTGTGCAGCCTTGCTCGTCAATGTGCTCAGCTTTGGGTGGAAACTCGAGAAAACCTTGGACATCCTTTGGGTGCTTACGAAGAGGATAACCTTATCTATCCTCATGTCTCCGAAAAACCTCGTAGAGAGGTAGTTCATTTACATTGCTATCCGCTGAGTATTTTTTACGAAGAAAATCACATAAGAATGCACATATGATGTTGCAGACTACACAAAACAAAACACATGTTGTTTGACCTATAAATTTGGTTTCTGCCATTCAGGAAGTGCCGGTGCAACCACGGGCGTTTGTTCTTGAAATAGGAACAGAAGAGTTGCCACCCCGTGATGTCGTAGAAGCAATTGAACAGGTAAACATGGCTTTCCATTTGTATCTAAAGAACATGATGACCCTTGCTTTGCAAATTTTTCTTTACTAGAATTTGCTGACTTTGTTTCATAGTGTAATGACTTGTGATCTGTTGCTTGTTGATCTTCAGCTTGAGAAATCTCTAGTTAATACATTGGAGAAACGTAGATTGACCCATGGGAAAGTGCACACTTACGGGACACCAAGGAGATTAGCGGTATCATCCTGACAATTTTCATCTCACATTTAGTTTCCTGACCAGCCTTCTTGATGTATTTTTCTACACCGTCATATCTTTCAAGCTTCATCAGAAATTGCTGTCATGTAATGTCTAAAATATCTGCAATATTTGTATTCCTTCTGTGAGTAGAGACCAGGAGCCAGTTTGGTGTGTGTTCAGTTAGAAATGAATGTGATAACCTGCCTGATGACTAAGCCAATTGCATGGTGGAGAACTTTTCTTACTCATTAAAATTTCCTTTGCTTAGTATATTAGGGATGTTTGTGCATTTTAGTCACACGGAAATATCTAAAACGGTGTACATGAACACGAAAACATTTTTGAAAGAAGTGATTTCTTGGTGGGCATCTTTTAGTTATGTTTGTTATATGGAAAACCCTTAATATATTAGACCACTATTTTTTTTTACATCTACACTTGTCCAATCTGAAGCAAGAAGTCCAGCTTTGATTTACAGATTGTTGTTGAAAATCTTAGTATGAAGCAAACAGAGGTAGAGGTTGAACTACGTGGTCCACCAGTTGCGAAGGCATTTGACGAAGAAGGAAACCCCACTAAGGTTGGCTATCCACAACAAACTTGGCTATACTCTGCTGTTGTGATATTGCTTATTCTTGTGTCTCTTTTGTAGCCTGAAACATGAATATGTGCATGTGGAAAATAAAATCTAGTTTGGTTCTTAATTAGGAGGAAGAGAGTAGCATCATTTACAAAAGCTGCATTTTTTACCATTGCTGATAAGGACCTTATCCTCTTAGAATAATTTTCTTTTGATGGATTTTTTACAGAATAATTTTCTTTGTTCCTATCCAGGCCGCTGAGGGATTTTGTCGAAAGAATAATGTCTCTGTCGATCATCTATATAGAAGAATAGGTGGTATACAAAACAAGCTCTTCCCTTTTAAATATTTATAATTGCCACTTTCTTTTAGAGTTGCCAATTTCTCTTTCTAGCTTTTGGGTTTATCTTCATCATTGCACCATTTATATAATTATATTGCTCATTGTGATTGGTTGCCAACTTACCTACCTACAGTCATCTCCACTTCTTGTTCATGCTTGCTGTGTTCGAATCACCATGTGGAATTGATAGCACGGAATTTACTATAGAGCTGATGACCTGTGTAGATCATTCATTGATATTACATTTAGTTATTTTATAGGATAACCTTAGCTTTAGTTTAGTTCTCATCTGCTTATTCTCTATAAACTTATTCAGTGCTAGAAATAGAGGGTACTGAATTGATTAGATGAATCCATATTTTATCAAGAGAAAATTGAAGTTTTTTTTTCAGATTTATTATCTGCTTCCTATATCTTATTACCAGATGCCCATGTTGAGGCCTTATGCTTATAACACATAATACTGCTTCCCCCTTATAACCCCCTTTTTTCTTAATTATCTCTTCTTGTTTAAAGAGGCCTAAATTTCATGAAAAAAATCACACTTTACAGGTAAAACAGAATATATCTATGCTAGAGTCAGAGTGTCTGCTCGTTTTGCTGATGAGGTAATTTCTTATCCTATATATTTGCTTGACAGAAGATTGTATTGGATACCTGAAGTAGGCCTTAGTTGATCAACAGAGTTTTCAAGAGTTAAAAAGTTCTTCCTCGTATATTCGTGGTGTTTATAAACAATGGACTTTCTGGCACTGGAATGAGAATGATATATGTTGCATTTTGCTAGGCTTTCTTAGAGCAGCTTGCTTGTATTCGGATCAACATACTAATCTAGTCATCCATTTTTTTAATTGTCAGTACCAGATGGCAAACTCTAATGTCTAAACAGATTAAATGCTCCATCCTATTTACCATCAGTCAACCTCCATAAACTAGGTGCTATGTTTTCTTGTGCGAAGTGAAAGCAATAGAATTTCACGGGAAATTAGTAGATTGATTATGAGGCCAAGAGGCAGGGGTACATATAGAGGCAAGGAGGACCCAGGGTTGGTTTATAGAAGTATGACCACCGTCGGATCTCCTTGCCTATTATAAGAGTAATCAATCTATAATAACCATAATGGGCCAACAGCCATGCGTTGCTGGGGCTGCAACAGAGTTTCTGCCGGATGATCTGAGCAGAAGGACAAAGAAGTGTTAGTCGCTGAATTCTTACTCTTGGTAGTAGCAAAATTCTTACTCTCATCGAGAGAGGATGATACTGGGAGCTGGGGCAATTTTCTGGTTTATTTCTCACACAAATGCCATGAACAGAGCTGGCTCCTCCTCGCTTTGTGTGGCGTGGGCACGGCCGCTGCGTCGTGGTATCGCGATCCTTGCCCCAATGGCTAAGCTGGCGCGAGTTTGTGGCGGAGTGTCGTCTCGCGTGCGGCTTGTGCTTGCCGTGGCGCCGCCTGGCGCCTCATGGGCATCACCCTCGCACGTCTTGGCGCTTCGGCACCTGGCGTCTCTGCGGCGCCTTGCGCGGCTTGCCACGCTATGCCGCTGTCGTCGGAAGAAGGCTCCCCTTCTTCCGGTTACCTTAGCGAGCAACCCATCGCTCCCAGTGAGAAGGAGCTTCCGCCCGATGGTGATGGCCCCGAGAGAGGCGTGGCTCATCATTGCCGGCGACCTTGAGGCGACCTATCGCCTCCTCGATCGACATCGTGGAGAGATCCAGCGAGGACTCGATCGAGCGAGCCATCTGCTTGTACTTCTCGGGGACTTGGCGGAAGAGCTTTTTTGACTCTCTCTCCTCGCCGTAGGTGTCATCGCCGAACCGCACCATCTTACGCAGCGGTGATATTGAGGCGGAGAGCAAAGTCATCAACGTCCTCACGGCTTGAAGGCGTGTTCTCCCACTCCTGCGAAGTGCTGCGGTGTGGACTTGCGGCGCGGTCATTCGCGATGCGTCGTGCTGTGGCGATGGCGCCCCAAGCCTCCTTGGCGATCCGCTTGTTGGTAGCGAGAACTACATCTCGGACGGATCTGCAGCGATGAGGGCATCCGGCGCCGTCGATCCCGGGTTGTAGTCGACGTCGCGCCGTCCGGACCGCTTCTCCCACATGTGCCGCACCCGAGCTTTACCCTCATCACCGCAGCCCACTCGGCGTAGTTGGTCTTAGTGAGGGTAGGCCACCCACCGCCCGGGGCGGCGTCCCCGACAACGACTGGAGCCCGTGGTAACCACGCAGACCGATCCGGGGAGAGGAGCCCGACGCGCTGTGAAGGCCGCGCTCTCCATCGACCCGTCCGTCACCGCGTTGCCGCGCGCGCGCGCCCTCCTCGGGAGGCGCCGCCCGGTGCGTCCGCGCTGTCTGCGAACGCCGCTGGCGCTTCGTGGGCGTCGCGGCCGCCATCGCGCCGCCGCTTCATATACGCCTCCCTCCCAGCTCGAGGTCGCGCGTCGTTGCTGTCGTCAGCAACGGAGGCTGCCGATCTTTGCCGCCACTGAGAGCCTCGACCTCCATTGCCGCCGCCGCCGTGCTGAAGAAGGCCGCGCTCCATCGACCGTCCCGCCCACCGTTGCGTCGCGCGCCTCCTCCGAGAGCGCGCCGCCGGTGCGTCCGCGCTGTCACGGGCTGCCGCCTGCGCTGGCGCTCGTCGTGGGCGTCTTCGTCGCGCCTTCGCCGCGCCGCCGCGCTCCATGCCGCCTCCCTCCTCAGACTCGAGGTCGCGTCGGTATTGTCGTGTCGTCAGAACGGCTGCTGCGATCTTTGCCGTATGAGCCTCGACCTCCATTGCCGCCGCGCCGCCGCTTCCGCCTCGCTCTGGCTCGCTGCCCGGCTCTGCCATTACCGACCTCGGCGCCCTTGCCACCGCTTCGCTCGCGTTCCTCTGCCGCGGCAAGTTCGACCTCTCCCGCCGGCGCCACGTGCTTTCGACGACGACCGAAGGCCGAGGATAGGGCGCTCACCGAGTCTACTAAATCCCGTGTTGAGGAACTCTATCATCAGCTTGGGACAGCTAGATGAGAACGGTTCGCGCGTGGTGGTTGAGGATGGAGTCATGAGGATTTGGGATCGCCGTCGTCGCCTTCTTGCCAAGGTAACCAGAAGCACAAATCGATTTCTCGTCCTTAACGTGCGGTGGCACAACCCCTCCGTCTCGCCGCTTTCGTCGGGATGATGAGGCGTGGCGATGGTACGCGCGCGCGGGCACCTTCGCCGAGGCCACAGGCGGCTCGATTGCCATGGAGATGGTGCGAGGCCTGCCGTGCCTCGACCATGTGGAGCATCTCTGCGACGTCTGCGTGTTGACGAAGCAGAGGCGACTCCCCTTTCCCCAGTAGGCGAGCATTCGAGCCAAGGAAAGGCTCGAGCTTGTGCATGGGGACTTGTGTGGCCCGGTGACACCGGCCACACCGGGAGAACGACGCTACTTCTGCCGCTGCTCGTCGACGACCTCTCCGCTACATGTGGGTGATGGTCCTCGGCGACAAGGGAGAGGTCATGACGCCATCGAAGCGCCTACAGTTTGTTGTGAGGTGAGTCGCGGCCGAAGCTGCAGCGTCTTCTGCGCGACCGACAACGGCGGTGAACTCACGGCGGCTGAATTCGTGTCGTCATCACTTATTTGAAAAAGGGCATTTAGCGCCACTACTCCGCGCCCGTCTGACCCGCAGCGAGCGGCGTCGTCGCCGAAAGCGCAACCAGACGGTTGTGGGGATGGCTCGGGCCCTTCAAGCGAGAGGGATGCCGGCTGTCTTTTCGGGGAGAGGCGGTGGTGTCGGCCGTCACATCCTCAACCACTCGCCTACAAAGGCGCTCGCTCGGCCGGATGATCGTGCGACGAGGCTTGGCATGGGCGCAAGCCGGTGGTCTCCCACTTGCGGGTCTTGGGCGCCTCGCGTTCGCCAAGGAGCTTGGCCACATCGGCAAGCTTGACGGCTGGGAGCACTCGGGAGTGTTCGCCGGCCACGCTGAGAGGCTCGAAGGCCTACCGCATCCTCGACCGAAGACCACGGCGTGTGCGCGGCGCGCGCGACGTTGTGTTCAACGAAAAGGGCGAGGATGGGGGCGTGGGACAAAGCGGTGGGCGACGGCTCGGCTCCGACGTCGGCGACTTCTTTGTCGAAAGTACGCCCACGCCGAGGGAGCCGGGAGTGGCGGCTCTTCTTCAAGCAAACGCGTCTACCCCAGTCCCCGAGCCTCCACCCGACCCGGCGCTGCTACTCGGCAAAGACCACGCTCTCTCGGCCCAGACCTTGGGCTGCGGCTTTGAGTTCTTTTGCGGCTCCACCGGCCGGCACCGGCACCACAGACCGACAGCACCTCTCGAGCACGTCTACTCCAACACCGGCTCGTGTCGAGCACGGCCCGATTGAGCTCGCTACTCCGGTCTTTCACGACGAGGAGCGCATCGACACGTACCACGACGGCGAGCCGTTGCGGTACCGTACAATGGAGAACCTTCTCGGCGACCAGCCGGTGCCGGGACTGGTGCCTCACGACTTGAGGCGCGATTGCACCTTGCGTGTGACGACGGCGAGCCTCGATCGTTTGTCGAGGCCGAGAGACACGCATGGCATGGCGGCGCCGCGATGCGATTGGAGATGGATGCGGTTGAGAAGAACCACACACAGGAGCTTGCGACCTTCCTCGTGGTCACCGTGGCGATCACCCTTAAGTGGGTGTACAAAGTTTGAAAAGGGATGAAGCCGGCGCCATCGTCAAGCACAAGGCTCGCTTGGTGGCACGAGGTTTCGTGCGGCAGGAGGGGGCCGACTTCGACGACGCCTTTGCTCCCGTGGCATGGATGGAGTTCGTGCGACTTCTCCTTGCGCTTAGCGCCGAAAGGGGTGGCGTGTTCATCACATGGACGTCAAGTCGGCGTTCATAACGAATGACTTGAAGGAGGAGGTTTACGTGCACCACCGGGATTTGCGATCCCGGCAAGGAGGGCAAGGTGCTCGCTGCTGCAAGGCCCTCTATGGCTTGCGGCGAGCACCGAGGGCGTGGAATGCCAAGTTGGATTCTACGCTAAAGGGGATGGGCTTCGAGCAAAGCCCAAGACGGTGACCATCTACCGACAGGCGGTGGAGAAAATGCTCTGGCTGGTGGGTGTCTCACGTCGACGACTTGGTGATCATCGGCACCAAGGATGCGGAGGTGGCGGCATTCAAGGAAGAGATGAAGGCCACCTTTCGGATGAGTGACACTGGGGCCCTCTCTCATTCTACACGGGAATCGAGGTGCACTAGGATGACTCGGGATCACGCTTCGACAGACCGCCCTCGCGCTAAGCGTCGTTGAGCTATTTGGGCTCATCGATCGCAACCCAGCTCTCTCACACGATGGAGGAGAGGTGAAGCAGCGAGCAGCGACAAAGACAACGGAGGAGGTGGACGCTATGCGGTCTTGCGGAGTCTTGTGGGGAGCCTTCGCTACCTCGCCCACACACGGCCGAACTTGGCATTCTCCGTCGGCCACGTTAGTCGGTTCATGCGGCGACCAACGGCGGAGCACCAAAGAAAGTCGTGAAGAGGATCATCCGCTACGTTGCGGGGACTCTCGACCACGGCCTCTACTACCCTAGGTGCCACAGGCGGCACACGTCGGTCGAATGA